CGAGCACAGCAAAGCAACTCAGGAGAGCGATAACTGAGTCACAGAATCGCCACTCTAGGTATGTGATTGCCAGAGGCGCAGGTGACACAGGATACGTGAGGGCCTGTGGCTCTCCTGATATATCATGTTCAGTTCCATATCTTCTTCACTATAAAGAAAGTGGGTATCTTAGGTCTTTGCATCATGGTGTTTCCCAAGGCACTGCAGGCAGGAGAGGATGACATAAATGCATCAATATTCATCTCGGAAAAGAATGAAACTAGACCTTCTTACACCGTACCCAAGAGTAAACTCAAAATGGATTAAAGATATAAATGTAAGATGCCAAACCATAAAAAGGTTTCTAGGTTTCCTAGAAAGAAACCTAGGCAGTAAGCTCCCTGATATTGTTCCTAGTAATATTTTTTCTGACATATTTCCTCAGAAGAGGGAAACAAAAGAAAAAAATAAGTGAATGGGACTACATCAAACTAAAAGGTTTTTGCACAGCAAAGGAAACCATCAACAAAATGCAATGCAAACCTTCTTACGGAGAGAAGATATTAACCAATGATACTTCCAATAAAGATCTAGTATCCACAATTTATAAAGAACTCGTACAACTTAACACTAAAAAAAAAAGTAAGAAATCCTATTAAAAAACTTGTCTGAGGACCTGAGAATATATATTTCTCCAAAGAGGACATGCAGGTGGTCAACAGACGTTAAATGATGCTCAACCTCACTACTCATCAGAGCAATGCAAACTGAAACCCCAATGAGCTATCACCTCACACCTGTCACAATGGCTGTCCTCTAAATCAGCAAACAACAAGTGTAGGACAGGATGTGGATTAAAAAAAAAGGGAACCCTCCTGCACTGTTGATGGGATTGCAAGTCGGTGCCACCACCATGGAGAATAGTCTGGAGATTCCTGAAAAAATTAAAAATAGAGCTACCTTATGACCCAGCAACTCCACTTCTGGTATTTAGCTGAAGAAATCCAAAACACTCATTCAAAAAGATATATTCACTGCTATGTTCACAGCAGCATTATTTACAGTTGCCAAAGTATGGAAGCAACCTGAATGCCCATAAATAGAACAACTGGACAAAAGAGAAATGGGACATATAAACAGTGGAATATTAAAAAAAATGGAATCATACCATTTACGACAAGATGTCTGGACTTCGAAGGTATTATACTAAGTGAAATAAGTCAGTCAGAGAGAGACAAATAGCCTATGATTTCACTTCTATGTGGAACCTAAAAATAAAATAAGTAAACAAAGAACACCAACACAGATTCATAGATACAGAAAACAAACAGATGGTTACCAGGTAAAAGGAGGATTGGTGGACTGGGTGAAAAAGGTGAAGTAAATAACAAATATAAGTTGGTAGTTCCTAAATAGTCATGAGGATATAACACACAGCATATGAAATGCAGTCAATAATATTCTACTAACAATTTATGATTAATTAGGGACGGTATGACTTCAGCAATTATGTAAATGTCTAAGCACTATGTTGTACACCTGAAAGAAACATAAAAATAATATTGAATGTCAACTGTGATGAGGAAGTTTTCAAAAGCCCTGTACCTGCCAGCAGTCAGTCCCCATTGCCACGCTGCACCCATCCCCTGACAACTGTTAATCTACTTTCTCTCTCTATGGATTTGCCCATTCCGGGGATTGCATATAAACGAGATCATACCAGTTTAGAAATTCTCCTGCCTTTCCTTTCCCTGGAGTTGAGTTCAGTCTCTCCCCCTTATTGCAATCTTCTCGACCACTATTGCATAGTCTTAAATGAAGTCTTCCTTACCTGTTTGACTGTGTCTCGTGCAATTCCTCTTTGCCTTAATCAAAAGCTTTTATAGAAATATCTTTATAATCAATTTCTAGGGAAGTATCTTTTTGGAAATGAAAGTGCCCGATGTCTCGCCTGTTAATGCCAATAATATCACATTTCACAAAAATACTTTGGATTGGAGAAGACCAAAACTCTCTTTCTTGAAGACCTGCATCAGTTTAATTTGGAACACAGAAACTGAGGCAGCCTGGCACAAAGATTGCCTTTTGTAATGCTTGAGACATGAGAGTCCACTCAGAAGGTAATGACAATACCGGAGGAATACAGACTAACTGAGTGGAGAGAACATCAGGAGAAGTTAGATGGGTGGTCAGGCATCTTTAAGTGCTGACACTTAAGTGGGAAGTTGAATAAGAGAGAGGAAGAATTCTTTAGACGTAGATAATTAAGTTTAACGGTTGGGAGGTCACAAAGAAGGACTAGAAAGCCAGTAAGTGTAAACAAGCTTGGCATGCAACAGATCGCCTGTAACGGGTTCCAGCCACAGAGGTTCTGCTTCAGCAGGTGGAGCAGGGCCTGAAGTTCGGCACGCGTGAGCTCCCAGGGAAAGGCTTAGAATGGACCAGCGACCAGCGAGGGAGTTGGAAGGTGGAAAGGGGTAGGAGAGACCAAACCGTGAAGGGTTTATAGACCTTGGCAAGGAGTTCACATTTTATTCTAGGAATAACAGGAAATGGTCAGAAGGTTCTAAGCAGAGAAGTCACACGTTCTGATGACACCTAAGAGAAAGCAACCTGGCTGCCATGTCAAGGGGGGAGAAAGCGACCATTCTGAAGACTTTGAGGACACTCTTGCAGGAGCAGCATGTCTATCTGAACTGTTTTTGGAGAGTAGGAAATGCAAATCCTTTACCTAAGGCAATGTGGCTAAGATGAGTTCATCGATTGGTGTAAGGAAAAAGGAAAGAAAAACTAAAATGACAAAATTGGGAGGTCTCAGTGACCTGAGACAGAAGGCTTGTCCAGCAGAAGCTCTGAGTAGCTATATGCTAGTGCATTTTGACAGTGGGAACACGAAGAGAGTTAAGTAGTACGTCGGCCAGCTTGCAGTGAGAGTTCCTTCGATTATTTGACATCGCCTGTCTGTGCATCTCTGTATTCTAATGGGCAAGACTTGGAAAGTTCCTCAGGTCTTCAGAAACCTCCTCCTCCCAGGACGACAGAATATCCTTAGTGTTAGTCACTGCCATTAACCCTGTGCTCAACGCCTTCTGAACCCAAGCAACAAAGGAGTAAGGGTCATCTGACCAAACCTGGAACAAAATCAGGTCAAGAGGGTGCTTCTGATTGGACATTAGAGTCTTTAGAGATTTCAAGACACTGACCGAGGCCAAATAAGCTATCATTCTTAACCCCTATTTTATTTATACTCAAGGGTTTAACATATTAAAATAGATATTTTGACGTATAATACTCTTGCAGATGTTACATTACCTTTTTATCCCAAACTCTGCACACTCTTTTTATCAAGCTTCACTGAATTCAGATTTCTAGAATAAGATTTTCTACAAGTACTTCCCTACTGCCCTAAAATTTCAATACCTTATCTGCTCCTCTTGAATTTATCCATCTCTGAGCCAAGCACTCTGCTTATAATTTGCAGAGCATGACTGACTTTTCAAAGAACTGCCTTAGAATTGTCTTTTTAAAATTCCCAAAATATGCCCTGCCTGGTGCGGCTCAGTGGATTAAGTTCCAGCCTGAAAAGTGTCACCATTTTGATCCCAATCAGTGCACATGCCTGGGTTGCAGGTCACATCCCCAGCAGTGGGTGCATGAGAGGAAACCACATAGTCATGCTTCCCTCCCTCTTTCTATTTGCCTCTTTCTCCCTCCCTTTCCCTTTCTCTCAAAATAAATAAATAAAATCTTTTCAAAAATTCCCAAAGTAATTTTATTAGTCAGGAGATATCCCAAGTTGGCTTCCTCACAAAAAGACTCAGAGACAACGATGAGCACGCAGGATGTTTAGCAGGTAACAGTCCTGGAATCAACACCTGTGGAAGAGCAGACGTATGGGGAAGAATTTGGCCTCACTTGCAAAGAGACATGGCCTTAGTCCCAGGTCCTGGGAGGTGATCTGTGAGCCCTTGAAATTTAGTTAGTGATAGAAGTGATTGGTTATTTGCGGTGGACCCTATGGACCATACCTGATAGATTACCTTAATGAGATGACTGAGGATGGCACATTGTCATGCCAAAAAGACCCCCATGTATGTAAATGGTGGGTGCTTTAGGCCAAGTGATGTCAGCCCAGTGTCTGGGAGGAAAGGCTGCTCAACCAAATGGGAAATAATTCAATTTATCACACCCATGTGATGAAGCCTCAGTAAAATCTCTGGACACTGAAGCTCAGGTGTGCCACCTGGATAGCAATCCTCTGAGCATCGCCTCACATTGTGGCAGGAGCAGGTAACAGAGCTGAACCCCATGGGGAGAGGACGAGACGAAGCTTTACCTACGGGATTTTCAGATAGTTCCTCGTGTATCTTCTTTTGACTAGTTCTATTTTGTATCCTTTTGCTATAAGCACACTGTGATCACACGTCTAGCACTGTCTTAAGTTCTGTAGCTCCTTCTGGTGAACTACTGAACCTGAGGGAATTCCCGTACTTTGACTTATTCTAGCAAATTATTGAATGAAGGGAATTATTGAATTCCCTTAATGGTGGCCAACTCGTCTGAAGTGCGGGCGGCCGTGGGACTCCTGAACGTGTGGCTGGTGTCTGAAGTGAAGACAGTCTTGCAGGAACTCTTCCTTCAGACTCTGTGGTTTGACAAACTCTTTGTAGCAAACAAGGGCAGAGGAAAAATCAAGCCAATTTGAAGCCCATCAAATTCCACCTAAAAACATCAGGGAGCTCTGGATCCATGATGATCCTCAGAGTTGGCTGGCACTGGTGCCAAGAGACTAAATGTGATGAACAACCACGGATGGGCTATGACTGAAGTATGGAGTCTCAAATAAGTTCCCAATTCCACTACAGCTTGCTAAGAGGAAAAACTGTGCAGACAGAAAGCAGAGGGCTGTGCGGATATATATACACTATGTGACTGCAGACTGAGAATTTCTTGTCACACATATTTGATTTTGTTGTTTTTTCCAGTCCTATGAACCAAAAAAGATGACACAGGTGTTGAGATTAGGCCATTCTTCTGATGATCCTCCAGAGGGCACTCTTGATGTCCCTGTTCCTCAGGCTGTAGATGAAGGGGTTCAGCATGGGGGTGACCACCGTGTACATCACCGAGGCCACCGCACCCTTCCTCGGGGAAGATGACACAGCAGAACTGAGGTACACCCCGAGGCCCGTTCCATAAAATAAGCAAACAACTGACAGGTGAGAGCCACAGGTGGAGAAGGCTCTATACCTCCCCCCTGTCGACGGGACTCTCAGAATGGAGGAAACAATTCGCATGTAAGAGAAAAGGATCCCTGAGAGTGGAACGCCACCAAAGATGGCCCCAATAAAATAGATCAATATGTTGTTGGTGGAGGTGTCAGAACAGGCAAGGTTGAGGAGTTGAGTGGGGTCACAAAAGAAGTGAGGAATTTCTACATCTGCACAGAAGGTAAGATGTGACACCATCAAGTAGTGCAGCTGGGAATCCAAAAAGCAGGAGAAAAATGACAGCAGGACACACAAGCCACAGAAGCGGGGGGTCAGGACGACCACATAGTGCAGAGGCTGACAAATGGCCACCAACCGGTCATAGGCCATCAAAGCCAGAAGGAGACTGTCCAAACTTGCAAAAAGAGAAAAAAAGGAGACCTGAGTGAGGCAGCCTGCGTAGGTGATGGAGTGGCTGCCTGTCTGGAGGTTCGCCAGCATCTTGGGAACTGTGGTGGTGCTGAAACTGATGTCAGCCAGGGACAAATTGCAGAGGAAGAAGTACATGGGGGTGTGGAGGCGGGAGGCAGAGCTGACGGCCAGGATGATGAGCAGGTTCCCCAGCACGGTCACCAGGTACATGGCCAGGAACAGCCCAAACAGAAGAGGCTGCAGCTCTGGGTCATCGGACAGTCCCAGGAGGAAGAATTCTGAGTCACCTGTTCGATTCCGTGCTTCTGTGCAGATGGGACACAGTTTGAAAAAGAAGGGAGTGTGGAGTAAATAAAACAAGTGTAGAGGCGTCCGTGTTTTAGATTCGAGCAATTCACAAATAAAGTATTTTCTCTTGAGCTTGAGGACCATACACCACCCGCCCCCACCCTTAACATTCACCAACATTTCTCAGTTGTGAACTCCTCTTACAACCCTCTCCTTACCAATGGCTGGGCCATTTTCCTATTTCTATATACACCCACATAGGAGACACTGGGTCAAAGAATATTAGAGAAGAAAGGACACTTGAGATTTAAAAATTCCATCTACAGAGGAAAATATCAGCCTTCTAATTTTCAAGGAAAAATCTGGAATGGGTACGATTGTTTTCTATGAAAAAACAATCATTTTAACTGGAGCCTGCTAAGGAGCAGTTGAATGTACTTTATCTCACTCAAATGCAGTATCAGAAATTCCCTTAATTAGGAATGTAGTCTAGAAGAGCTTAAACTCTATTAACTGGATTCTAACCTAAAATACAACGTTCATAATCTGATAGCTTTTTCTGTGACAAATATCTTCAAGGGTTTTCAGCTCTTTTTGGCTTTATGACAATGTCCTTCATGGAGGTGAGTGCTCACTCACACGTGTGGGCGACTGGTCAGGGGCCTTCACCTATAACTGAAATGTGTAAATAGTTGGCCTTGGTGGGCCTCACATTTTGAGTAATACATCTTTGGTAAATGCACAAAATCATGCAGCACCCCTGACCCTAAAGATGGTGTTAGTTTACAATGCACCAATGATTAGAAAATAATTAACTTTCAGGAATACTCTGTACTCGTTTTTCTTTTGAGAAAGTCTATTTTCTGTCTGTGATACACAGTCTCAGAGAAACACCTGCGGGTGAGTTTGCACTTCCCTGGTTTTGTTCGTCGTGGCTTAAATTTGTTCTTAAGTTTGTCTCTAACCACAGACATTTGTGAAGTCTTGATTTCTTACCAAGTCCAACCTTCTAACAAACAGTTGAGAAACTGAAGACCAAAGCCAGGCCTCAAAGCATAAGTTGGCCTTCCTATGGCAGCCTAAATGCTTCCAAGTCAGTTCTTCCTGACAGAGGGACTGCACGTCTCCTCAGTTCGGCTCCCTGAAGGCAGCTCGGGTCACTTCTCCTGACAGGTCAAAACATGATGAGTTACTGAAGCATTACATTGTCAACATATTTCTTCCTTTGTGTGACATTCTTGCTTATGCAGATATCGCTGATCGTTTCTAATTTGTAAATACAACGTACCTTTACAGAAGCTATATGATAACAAACTATTTTGCCTCAAAAATGATATAACCTGGGAAAATCAAAAGGGAAAGGTACAGAGGCTAATATTCCTAACATTTGAGTACTTTGCTCATCTACAAAATGGACATAAAATTGATCTGACAATATAGTGTTTCGTAAGAAATAAAATTAAATTATAAACATAAATTAGTGGTAATCAGTACTAGTTGAATTTATAATTACTTATCTATCTTTTAAAATTTAGAGATAAGTGATATAAACCAGGCAAAGAAAGACAAGTACCATGATTTCACTCATGTGTGTAATCAAATGAAGAAGCTGAACAAACAAGCAAAATAGATACAGATGCATAGAGAGAGAGCAGGCAGACAGCTCTGCAGGTGCAGGGTTTGGGAGAGGAGAAATTGAGCAAGAAGGAAGGAGAGAGAGTTTATGGACACCAACAACAGTGTGGTGATTGTGGTGGGGGGCATGAGCTTGTAGCTTGAAGAGGGTGAAGGGGGGGATAAATGATAATGAAAAAAAACATAAAAAATAATGAGAAAATTTAGTGATGAGCTGGCCATAACCTGGAACCAGTTAAATTGGAATTTCTACACATAAGTCCCTGGGGAGCACTGTCACCAAGCAGAGTAGAGAACCACTGTCAGACAGTGAATAAATGTTGTATTAATGCTATCAATTATCTTCAATACCATTTTTACCCACTGTCCCTATTAAAATATAAATATTTATTAATACATGCCTAGAATTTATATTTATTTTTCAGTTGTTGCTCAATTGCAGTTGTCCCCTTTATTCCCCCAGTAATCTCCCCTGCCCCGCGCACCCCCACTTCCTACACTGAAACCTTCCCCCGCCATTGTCTTTGTACATGGGGCCTTTACACGTTTAATATTGATAAAACCTGAGGGTTTTTTCTGTCCCTGCATGATCTTCCCCTGCACTTCAGTTGTTCAAACTCAAACACTGTCATCAATCTGGTGGATGCATTTTCCTTTCAGTATCTTTATAATATTGGTAGCGAGTTTTGTATTCATAGCTGTTTTCTTGAAAACTTACCTGAACGCTCTCATACTTCACACGCTCTGCCCCGAGTTCTCACTCACCACTGCGCTGCGTTTTAAGGCTCCCTGCGAAATACACCCTCCCATCCCGGCACTTTAACTGGTGCACAGCATTACCTGTGGGGCAACCTTCACTTTACTCTTCAGGTTTTTTATTGTGACAGTTCTTAGGCCCCTCTCCGTATCACACAAGTGAGAATTTCTTAAAGATACAGGCATAAAAGATCATTCTTTGGGCTGTAAAAAATTGACATATGCGCCATTTCACTATGAATTACCTATATTTAGTTTCCCAAGAGAAAAATGAGGCAAAACCAGCTACATGCTCAGATTGCCAAGGGATATCATTAGCGAGTTCCCTGAAGTCTGACTAGCAATGGTCTTTTCAGGATAGAGCCACATCACAATTCCCATCTCATGGAGGGACTGGTATTTCCCTATCTCGGGTTTACAAAATGTGCTGCCACATGCGTTACTACTGGTAGAAATCCTAGGATCCACAACATCCGTGTAAGAGCTGTCCCTGCGAACGCCTGGGTCCATTTTGCTAATTCACAGGTGAACTCGCCCAATCCCAGGAGAAGGAATTGGTGGTGGAGCCCCCGTTCGCTCCTCTGAGACTAACGCAGGTTTGGAGAGAAACCAGCGCGGTGCTGCGCGGGAGGGGACAGAGCCCTGGGGTGGGGATCTGGCCGCCGGAGGCCCCAGCTTTCGCGCGCCCCCGGGGAAGTGTGAGTGGTCCGCCCGCCTCTCCGGGCTGGCATCTCTAACGTAGAAATCGGGGCTAACACCCATCTCTGGGAAACATGTGGCACCAGCAGACGTTTGCCCTCAAAAGAAGTTCGCTCGTGCTTTTGAAATCCCATTGAAAGAGTGGGTCTGTTGATGGAAAACAAGCGCAGGGAAGGTGTAATGGCGCGTTATTCCAACAGGTGGCAGCGACGGGAGGAAGCCGGTCCTGCCCCAGGTGGTCCGTTCACAGAGTGAGCGGGAACCCTAAGAGGTGCCTCCGTCCACACAGTACGATTTACTGCCTCTCTTTTTTCTGTGCTGCATGTTCATGAAAATCTCCACAGCCATTTTTTTGTGTTTCAATGTTGTAGATTCATTTAAATGAAAAATGATAGGTTTCTTAGAACATCTGTGACCTTGATCCACGTAATCACGCTCCATCTCCTGCCTAGTCCTAGAGGCACCGCTGGGAGGAGGGAGAGCGCAGGAGGGGCAGCGCCTGGTGTGTGTGGCGATGCTGCCCGCGCTCGGTTCCTGAGGCCCAAGGAGGAGTCTGGGCGAAATCTACCGGAGGTGGTGGTTGCTCTCTGCCGAGCGCAGACTGGGTCCCGGGGGGATCAGAAGTGAATTGGACCTCTGTTTCCTTCTACGTGTTCAGAACCTCCCTGTACAGGCACAAAACTATCTGAAACCTTCTGTACTGGCGCCCTCCCTCTCTTTGTCTATTTGTCCTCATGAGGAAGGAAACCGCTCCGACAGCCCCTGCCCCGCCCACCATCTCCACAGTACTCACGGGGCGGTCCCGTGTCCGCTGGAGGAGGACCAAGCAGGGGGAATCCACTGCCCCTGCCCTGCGTGGGCGCTGCAGGTCCAGGCTCCGTCCTCAGGGCCGGCGGCCTGGCCGCGCTCGTCATGGGCCCCTGCTGCAGGCACGTGAGACGAGAAGGCTCGGGTGTGAAGCCCACGGACTGAGACGGGAACTTCAAGGGCTGCGGCCCAAGCTCACGGTCTATTCTTGCATGGACGTGGGAGCTCAATGCTCAGAGCTCATAATTAGCCAAATTGGTCTGCGTTATCCCAGTCTCTGAGGACTTGCTGTTATTAACAGAAGAGGAAAGTGGAAGGTGCTTTCAAGGGTTTGGGCCCTCTCCCTTCCCAGGAGGTAGCTCCCCTATACTCCTCGCTTCCAACTTTCAAGTTGTAGGATTTTATAAACTCAGATGGGTTTTAGTCCCTTGAAAAAAAGCAATGTCTGACTTGTATGTCTGCCTGTTCATTGACTTGGTCATTCTATGTGAAGATAATTATGTTTTCTGTACAAAGAATATTATATAATTTCTATTTTCTCACTTGAGATTTATTTTCTCTAAGGAGAAACTTTCTCTTTTTCTTCAGTAGTCTGCTTTGAGAGTTGGGATTTTATGCTTTAAGAGATGTGTTGGTGTTTTTGTTGCTGTTTTGAGAGACAGCCAAAGTCCTAATTTTTCCATAGAATTTATGTTTGTTATTACATTAGACAACCATCTATTTTGATTTACTGAATGGCAATTTTCATCAATCTACCTCTACATTGAGGACTGCAGTCATCTCAAGACCTTTTTGTCTTTTTTTTAAATTGAATTTATTGGGGTGACATTGGTCAATAAAATTACATAGCTGTTAAGCGTACAATTCTATAGTACGTCATCAGTATGCTGTACTGCATGATCACCCCCCCCCATTTATCCCCCACTTACTCTCCCCTACCTCCCCCGCCCCCACCTTTCCCGCTGGTAACCACCATACTGTTGTCTGTGTCTGTATAGATTTTTCTTTTTCTTTTGCTTAATCCCTTCACCCAGCCCTCGTACCTCCTTTCCCTTCTGACAGCTCAGTTCATTCTCGGTATTAATGAGTCTCTTTCTAGTTTGTTTGTTAATTTTGTTCTCCAGATTCCACATGTAAGTGAAATCACATGGTACTTGTTTTTCTCTACCTGGCCTATTTCACTTAGCATAATACTCTCCAGGTCTAAAAATAATAAAAAAAAAACAAAACTATTTTAATAAGAAAAAAACTTTAATAATAATCTTCCAGGTCCACCCATGCGGTCACAAAACGGATTGCTCTTCTAGTTACAGCTAAGCAGTATTCCACTGTGAATGTGTACCAAACGTTTATCCACTCGTTTTATGATGGGCACATGGGCGGCTTCCACGTTTTGGCTATTGTAAATAACGTTGCCATGAATATTAGAGTGCATATACTCTTTCTGAATAGTGTTTCAGAATCGTCAAATGTATTTTCAGAAGTGGAATCTTGGGATCATAAGACGGTTCCATTTTTAATTTTTTGAGGAAACCCCATGCTGTTTCCCACAGTGGCGGCATCAATCTGCTTTCCCACCAACAGTGCATGAGGGTTCCCTTTTCTCCACATCCACACAAACACCTGCAGCTTGTTGATTTATTGAAGATAGCCATTCTGACAGGAGTTAGGTGATAAGTCATTGTGGTTTTAATTTGTATTTCTCCGATGACTCATGATGTTAAGCATCTTTTCATATTTCTACTAGCCATCTGTATAACCTCTTTGGAGAAGTGTCTTTTCAAGTCCTTTGCCCATTTCTTCATTGGGTTGCTTGTTTTATTTTTTAGTTTCAGTTGTACAAGTTTATAGATACAGGATATTAACCCTTTGTAATTCGCAGATATATACTCCCATTCAGTGGGTTGTCTTTTCATCTTGGGGATGGTTTAATTTGCTGTGCAAAAGCTTTTTGATGTAGTCTCATTTATTTATATTTTCTTTTGTTTCCTTGCTCCAACCGATATATCAGAAAAAATGTTGCTACAAGAAATGTCTGAGATTTTACTGACTATGCTTCTAAGACTTCTATGGTTTCGAGCCTAACATTTAAGCTTTAAATCATTATGAGTTTATTTTTGTGTATGGTCTAAGAAAGTGGTCGAGTTTCAATTTTTTTGCATATATTTATCCAATTTTTCAAACACCGTGTATCGAATAGACTACCTTTACCCCGTTGTATTGTCTCACCTCCTTTGCCAAATATTAACTGACCTTAAAGGCGTGGGATTACCTCCAGGCTCTCTGCTCTGTTCCACTGACCTGCATGTCAGTACCGTGTGGTTTTGATTGCTTTACCTTGTAGTAGAGTTTGATATCCAACAGCATGCTCCCTCCAACTTTCTTCTTTTTCAAAATTGCTGTGGCTACTCTGGGTCTTCTGTGTTTCCATATAAAGTTTCGGATTATTTGTTCTAGTTTGGTGGAAATACATTGGTATTTTCGTAGGAATGCATTGAATCTCTAGATTGCTTTGGGTAATATCGACATTTTAATAGTGTTTCTTATCCATGGGCACAATTTCTGCTTCCATATATTCGTATCTTCTTCAGTTTCTTCCTTGAGATACGTTATTTTGGAGGGGAGCTTTTTCCTTTTTTTTTTTTTATTGTTTATATTGTTAACGATTGATCCCATTTTTTCTCCCTTCCCCCACCTCCACCCAGCCTCACCCTCTCCCCATCCCAAGCCAATCCCCATAGTGTTGTCCATGTCCAAAGGTTGTGCATAAATGTTCTTTGCTTAATCCCTTTACCATCTTTCATCCCATCCCCCATTCTCCTTTTTGGCTGCTCTCAGTCTGCTTGTTATACCGAAGCTTCTGTCCCCCTGTAGTTCCACAGTTCACTGTGTTCATTACATTCTGCACATAAATGACATCATGTGGGGTTTTTTTTTTCATTTCTTCGGATTTTTTTATCTTTCCCAGTACAGGTCTTTTATATCCTTGGTTACATTTATTCCTAACCATTTTATTTTTTGAAGCAGTTGTAAATGAGATTGTATTCTTAGTTGTTTATTTTTTCGTAAATGTTTTTGATGTATAAAAAATGCAACTATTTTTGAATACTTACTTTGTATCCTACTATTTTACTGAATTCATTTATCAGTTCTAGTAGTTTTTTGGTGGAATTTTTCGGGTGCTCTAATATACAGTATCATGGCATCTGCAAATAATGACAGTTTTACTTCTTCCTTTCCAATTTGGATGCCTTTTATTTCTTCTTCTTTTCTGATTGCTGTAGCTAAAGCTTCCAGTTCTATTTTGAATAAGAGTGTTGAAAGCAGATATCCTTGTCTTTTTCCTGGTCTTAAGGGAAACACTTTTAGTTTTTGTCAATTGAGTATGATGTTGGCTGTGATTTTTGTCGTATTTGTCCTTTATCATTTTGAGCTATGTTTCCTGTATTCCCAGTTGGCTAACACGTTCATCACAAATGTGTGCTGGATTTTATCCAACGCGGTTTCTGAATCTATTGATAGTCATGAGATGTCTATCTTTCATTTTGTTAGGTGGTATACCACGTTTATTGATTGGCAAATGTTGTACCAAACTGCATCCCTGGAATAAAACTCATTTGATCATAGGGTATGATCTTTTCAATGTACTGCTGGACCCAGTTTGCTAATACTTTGTTGAGGACTGTACCATCTAGTTCATTACATCTATTAGCCATCATTTTATTTCTTTGTACCATCTGCTTTATAATTAGGATAATGCTGGCCTCATAAAATGAATGTAGGAGTCCTCCCTCCTCTTGAATTTTTTGACAGATAGGTGTTAGTTCTTTAAATGCTTGGTAAAATTCATGTAGGAAGCCATCAGGTCCAAGACTTTTGTTTGTTGGGAGTTTTTTAAATCCTGTTTCAAATTCATTACTTGTACTCTCTCTGTTCAGAATTTTTGATACTTCCTCCTTTGGTATTTAGATACACAGATAATCTGAATCTATACTGGCCAGGAAGAACAAAAATATTCTTACATATGCCAAACCTCCCTGCTAATACCCATACAGTTGTTATTTTTATCACCTCTCCAAAAACACCTTGGTAACGTTTTTGACTCTGTGCAAAAACAGATGCAGCAATGGAACCTGTTTATCTTCCATCCCTGTGAACTATCTTGTTAAAATAAATCCATTCGTTCTTTCAACAACAACAAAGAAAACCAAAAAACCAGAATTTTTTAACCTCTCTGATTCAATTTTCTAGAATTCTGTGTTTCTAAAGACTTATTCATTTTGTCCAGATTGTTTATTTTGTTGGCAAATAGTTTTCATAATATTTTCTTACTATCCTTCGTATTTTGTTGGAGTCCGTTGTTACTCCTCTCTCTCATATCGGATTTTACAGTATTGTTTGGGTCCTGTCTCTTTTTTTTCTCGATGAGTCTGGTTAAAGATTTTTCAATCTTGGTTATCTTTCCAAAGGACCAGTTCTTGGTTTTATTCCCCTTTGTTATTGTTTTATAGACTCTCTTTCACTGATTTCTGCTCTGATCGTTACCATTTCTTTCTTCTACTCACTTGGGCTTTGTTTGTTGTTCTTTTTCTAGTTCCTTTAAGTAAAGGAGGATTCCTTCTTTGAGGTTGTTCTTGTTCCTCATGGTAGGCCTGCGATGCTATGACTTCCCCCCTTAGGTCTGCTCTCACTGTGTTCTGTAGATATTGGATTGTCGTGTTCTCATTTTCATTTGTTTCAAGGCCTTTTTAAAATTTTTTGCCTTGACCTCCTCATTAACCCATTCATTCTTTAGTAACACGTTATGTAGCTTCCCCGTCTTCATGTGCTTTTCAGTTTTTCTTCCTGTGCTTGTTTTCTAGTTTCATATCCTTATGGTTAGAAAAGATGCTTGATGGGATTTCAGTCTTCTTAAATTTCTTGAGACGTGTTTTGCATCCTGACATATGGTCTATCCTAGAAAATGTTCCATGTGCCCTTGAAAAGAATGTTTATTTTGCCCTTTGGGTGGACTCTTCTGAAGATACCCCTTCAATCCATCTGATCTAGTGTGTCATTTGTGGCTGCTGTCTCCTTGTTGACTTTCTGCCTGGACAATCTGTTCATT